CCTCTTCATGGGATTTTAAGGGCAACCAAAGACATATAAATAAAATCACTTGTTCTTTATTGTTTCTTTTCTTTAAACATTTTGTTTCAGGAAAACTTAAATAAAATCAGCAATTACTGCAATATACAGACATGTTTGAGCTATATAGTATCAACTCAGGATCACAAAGGATTCACAAAGGAATCACAAAGATATGGTTTTTAAAGTGCAAACCATATCTTCCCAACGTACATATGAGATGTTCTATGATATATAGCTCACACATTAAGATAACCAATTAAATGTTCTTTCTTTGCTAATTTAATACATTTGGCACAATCATCTTGGCTATGTAATGTTCTTGTTTAGACTTCCTAAATAACCCTTTCATGTCTTACCCAACCTGGTTACAAACCATGTCATGTTCAGCTTAATAATCCCTCCTTTTATCCAATAACATCTTGATGTATTCTGATTAAACACTGTCATTTTCACTTCTCATATATATTTTCAGCTAGACAGGAAAAGCGAGAGAGAAAAAAACTTTTGGAAATTAAAGTCATGAATTAACATGCAATCTGTTTTAAATTAAGGAACACTTTTTTCTCTATAACCAATAACCAACTTGCCCACTCTTTTTACCTTAGGTAGCCTTTGGCCTTGGTTTTGGTGTTTTTTGTAGATGAAACATTCTAAAAACTTCCTCCTTGTAGCGTATAAATGAACCAATGTGCTCCTCCTCCTCCTGACTCACCCCGCATAGCAAATTATGTGAAGCTCAATGTGATTGTCACAGATGTGTGGAACCAGAAGGGGCTATACTTCCGGCTTAGACGCAGGAAACAGTCACATGCCTTTACCATATGGATTAAAACCTCAATGAGCTTGTTTTATAATATATCTATAATGAGGATGAGCAGCATGATATGGACAAAATTTATTTCACCAGAACATTACAGAATTCATCACTGAAATGTTGCAAAAGAGAAAACTCTTTATTTCAGTCATTATTCTGCTTAAGCAAAATTTGTTGTTCAAAAAATTAAATTGTTTCGATTTAGAATGTTTTGCAAGTATTATTTATGATAGTTGCATTTAAATCATTGATTGCTCTTTGTATTTGTGGTTTTTAATCCTTTTATTCTGTATTTGATCGTTATTTGTGTAATTTTACATTTTTTATATAACATATTTTTTCTGCTTTCCATGTGTTCTCTCTGTGAAATGTAAAGTAAATAATAAAGTTAATGAGGGGCTTGCTTTTAACAGAACAGGCCCCATAATGTTTGAAAGGAGGTTCCATAACTATGGAGCCATTTTAAATTCCATTCCATGCTTAAAAACTGATAAGACAAACAAAAAAGAAACCTAAATTTGACTTCCATATTCGTTAATTTTTCACCAAAATTGTGGAGAATTTAACGGGGGAAAAATAAATAATGGTAGTGCCCCCCTTTCCCCTGTCAATGCTGGATATACTGCTAGTTTAATCTAGAGAGCATTCCAATAGAGTGCATTATTTACCTAGCTCCATGACCACGCAACTTTCAACCTGCTAGACAACTGGTCCCCTATAGTCCCCTTCAGGGGTGGATTGACAACTCATGGGGCCCCCGGGCAATAGGGGATCATGAGGCTCCTATGTCTTTGCCCAAACTCAAAAAAGCTATGAAAAAGGTACCAGGGGCATCTCATGGGTCCCCCTACTGACCCCTGGCCCGAGTTTCCAAATGGTCAGTCCGCCCCTGGTCCCCTTATGGATTACCATCAGTCTTCTTTGGGAAAAAGTTGCCTGTTTGGAAACTGAAATCCCTTGAGTTTGCAGGCACCCATCTTGGCAGCGGACCTAATAAATAAGGTGACACGGGTCATTTGGGCACACCAGGAGTGAGTGGTAGGTCAGGGACAGGGAAGTCCCTCCACACAAGCTGTTAAACTAGATGTTCCTGAGACAGGGGGATGACCTGCAGGAAATACCTAAATAGGTCCCATGCTTGACTTTAAAATTATATCTTCAAGCCCCCTGGTACTCATGTTGCTGAATGGTCAACAGGCCCAGTGCTTGGTGGACACAGGGTCTGAGGTGACCACCATGGACTACACCATCTACTAACAACAGTTTGGTTAAGCCTCAACCCTGAATCTGCCAATAACCTCCCTATCCTGGTGGAAGGGGTCACCCCTCGCTCTCACTTCCTGTTTTGGCTATGGGGTAGGAAGAGAAGGGATATCTCCCCAATGGGACACAGATGGCAAGTAAAGACAGTATTTAAAACCCTCCTGTACTCTATCCAATATGAAAAATGTTTTCCCCCTTAGTTTATAATTTAAGTTACAATATTTGTAGCTATCTTACTTTGTAAGGGGTCAGTTTATTCAAAATCCAGATCTGAGTGGTTGATGCTAGTGGGTCAAATATTGGCTCCACATACTCCTACTTTGCAATGTCCACAAGCTGCCTTACAGCAGTGACTTCCTTGCCCGGCCTTGTTCCGAGTTTCACAATTTTGCCATCTTGATTGGTAGCCTAGGGTGTGATGTTATGAGCATGTGCTAATTCCTCCCATGCCAATATTGTATACTAAACTGTATATGCACGGCTCAGTATTCAGTCTTTAGAAACTTGCTAGCAGGCTGGTAAGATGATTTTATTGCTAAACAGACATACTGAGTATTTTCTGTATAAAAAGTTATCCTGCTGGTAAATTTCTTCCTTTCTATGCTAAAGTTCCTCTTCAAATTACCAACTAGCTTGCTACCATGCTTAATATACAATTGTTGACTATACCAAAATGAATAAAAGGTTGTGGAAATGATCAGTCATTCCAATTATTTTTGTATTGGTTTCTAATTAGAGGTTGTGGGAAAGGTCATTCAGCACATACAGTAATTAAGTTTAATCAGATGCAATTTGGAGACTCAGATGGGTTAAAGATAAAACTTTATTGGGACCTGCATGAGACGCCTAAACAAATATTGCGCTATTCCAATACAAGCATTCCAGTCTAGGAGCCAGCAGGCACTTACATGGAATACACCGTGGTTTTATATAGGGTTTATTTTTTAAATTATAAGAAATAAAAATGTTTATGTTGTAATTTCATATGTGGCATACAGGTGGAGCTCTCAGCTCATTTTTAAATGCTCTCCTTATCTTTTGCTGAAAAAATTATGTTGGTAACGGAACTCAATGGCTCCCCCTTTCTTCAGACAACTCTGTATAGGATCCAATCAGAAAAATAATATCTCAGGAAGGCAACTCCTGTTTTCTCTCTTTTTAGAAATCCTATAGTGTTATTTCTTACAATGTGCAGCTGTTTTGCCCAGAGTGTTGGCACTATGGCGAATCAGCTTCCGTGATTGGTGCTCTTTTAAAGGTCAAGTGTAGAGATGTGCATGATGGAAAAAATTGTTTCATGTCATTTCAGATTTGTTCATTAAGTTAATAATTTCATTTTGGCATATTTGTTATGCTAGAATGATCGGTTTTTGGAATTTGATTTGTATATTTGGATTAATTTCATATATTCATTATTTTCAAATCATCGGAAATTAGAATTTCAAATTCAAATTTTGAAATTTGAATTTCAAATTATATATATTCTGTTTTATTCTATTCTATTTATCTATTTTATTCTTTCCTATTCTAATCTATTCTGTTTTTTCTATTCTATTCTACCTTATTCTATTCTTTTATTTTCTATTCCTTTATTTTATATTCTATTCCTTTGTTTTATATTCTATTCTATTCCTTTATTTTATATTCTATTCTGTTCTATTCTTTTCTATCATGCTCTATTCCAGTGATGGCAAACCTTTTAGAGACCGAGTGCCCAAACGGCAACTCAAAACCCACTTATTTATCGCAAAGTGCCAACACTGCAATTAAACCTGAATACTGAGGTTTTAGTTTAGAAAAAGCAACCCACTGACCAACAGCACAAGGGGGCAAAGTTCCACTGATCTCCAGCACAAGGGGGGAAAGTTCCACTGACCACCAACACAAGAGCAAAGTTCCACAGACCACCAGCACAAGGGGGCAAAGTTCCACTGACCACCAGCACAAGGGGGCAAAGTTCCACTGACCAACAGCACAAGGGGGAAAAGTTCCACTGACCACCAGCACAAGGAGGCAAAGTTCCACTGACCACCAGCAAGGGGGCAAAGTTCCACTGACCAACAGCACAAGGGGGAAAAGTTCCACTAACCACCAGCACAAGGGGGCAAAGTTCCACTGACTACCAGCACGAGGGGGCAAAGTTCCACTGACCACCAGCACAAGGGGGCAAAGTTCCACTGGCCACCAGCACAAGGGGGCAAAGTTCCACTGACCACCAGCACAAGGGGGCAAAGTTCCATTGACCACCAGCACAAGGGGGCAAAGTTCCACTGACCACCAGCACAAGCTAAAATATAGTGTTAATAAAAACAAATGTATTAAAACTCACAGGCACTCCAATATATATATCCTTGGCAGCACACTGGCCGGCCATGCGAAAGCTCGGATGAGTCGCGCTTAATGAGTCGCGGCTCGTAATGTCATCGCCTGGCACTGCTGCTGCTTTCTGAGCATGCACATGGCCCCTATGTGCGCTGTTAACTGATGCCCGCCTGCTGGAGCGATGCTGGGGCAACTTGGCTCGCGTGCCGACAGAGAGGGTTCTGTGTGCCCACCGCAGCTTGCTTGCCATAGGTCCGCCACCACTGCCCTATTCTATTCTAAAAAGCAGCCTAAGTAGGAATCATCATCTTATTTCACTTTTATACCTTACTGTATTTATTGCAATAAGTTTCCCTTTAGAATTCAAATTTGAAATCAAAATAATTTTCAAATTCATTTTTGAATTCAGATAATTAATTTTGTTATAATTTATTTCAGATTGAGTGAAATTCATTACTATTGTGATTTGGAAACTCAGATACATCTGAAACTCCAAATAAAGAAAATTTAGTCCAAATGTATTTGTAACAAAACAAATCGCACATGTCTAGTCAGGTGACCCCTAGCTTGACATTCGTTTCTGCACCTAAATGACTCCCCTGCTGCTGTCCTTCTCCTGTCCAGTGCCCACCTGGTTCTTCAGTGACCCGTGTGCACTAATCCTTTTTAAAATGTTACCAAACCCAGGACCCTGCATTCACTATATCTGGTCTCCCACAGTACACAGAACATGGAAATGCAATTATTTTAGTAAATACCTTTTCTCATCAGCAGTTAAAGTAGTCTTGTGACTTCTATCAGTGTCCAGAAGAGCACTGGTTAAAGCTTTTAGGAAGAGTTTTCATTTTGCTCTAGGAGAATGCAGAACCCCTGAACTCTGTCTGGACAGTGGTGATTGGTCCTGTGCTGATCACATGCACTCTCCCAAGGACAAAAAAACCTCCCTAGCAATACACACCAAACCGGGTATGTGCAGAGTGTCTCCACGATATGTTTTATTAGGAGGGGGACACTGGAAGAAGGGGAGGATCAGAGAAGACAGGATCAAACACAGTTTTTACAAAATGCGGAGGATGAACCCCTTAGGTTCCACAGTGAGTAAAACAAGCATGATTTACTGCATATACAGACTGATTTTACTGTTGTGGGTTTAGTAACACTTTAACTTAAATTATGTCTTTAACTTTAATTTTGCTATTTTGGCAAAATGCATTGGAGTTAAAGGGTAAGATTAAATTAAGGTTGTTTTTCAGAGAGTGATAGTCTTTAAATGGCTCCTGAGGGTTACAAAAGCACCTTTGAATTATTCTAGGCCCGTTCTTGAGTCATAAAATGTCCCTTCATTAGCCTCCTTACTTTACATTTCTTTTCACTGAAAGGAGAAAACATGCATGGAAAATGGCAGTGGTGGACAACAGAGTGGTGACCACCAGCCTGGACCATGAAGCCCTGAAGAAGGGCACATTTGTAAAGTAACTGCCATTATATGCAAGAAAGTAGTGCATACTTGCACATTATGACAAAAATCCAATCCCCAGAATTTTGGTGATAAAGTATGTATATGAACAGGCATTTGGAGGTTCCTGCTTTCAGGGCCAGAGGCTATGTAACAACCTGAGAGCGTAGAATCATTTTAAACGGCATGTATAGCCAATTCTGTTTGTTGGATGGGGAAAATTAGAACCCTGTGAAATGTTTATTGCTGTCTGTGATCCTGCTTTATGGATTTACCTCTTCATTTGACCTGATAACCATTGCCATTGAGGCAGGAAGTGACGGGAAATTAAAAGGATTTTAGAGTTGTCACTAGAACAGGAGGACAACTGTCTAACAGGGAAAATCCTTTCAACTCCTGTTGTGGGTCAGAAAATAGGGAGACACAAAAAACAAACGGGTTTTAAACTTTACCTACTCTATCGAAGTCAAAGAAAAATATTTGGCTATACATATAATTTACATTTTCACTGACAACTGAAAATCCTTCCTCCTATCCCAGGAAGTAATAATCCTCATCCGCGTTTCAGTGGGAGAAATCTTGCAATATGTATTTCATTTGTAAACTGTGCGAACATGTCATGTGCAAGAAATATTCTTATTCCTTTAGATCTGAAATGGCAATGGAGCTCGTGGTTGCAACACTCTATTTAAAACCTTCAACAGTTACTTAGTTATTAAATGCAACACTGCACGGGGCCAATTACCAGCATCCGAAATGTAAAGGCAAACTTCAGCTATGAACAGCTAAATATAAATTTAGAATACATATGTGTGAAAACTTTTACCTGCTTAAAGTGTTACTAAACCCAGGACCCTGCATTCACTATATCTGGTCTCCCCGGACCCTGCATTCACTATATCTGGTCTCCCCGCCCCTGCATTCACTATATCTGGTCTCCCCGGACCCTGCATTCACTATATCTGGTCTCCCCGGACCCTGCATTCACTATATCTGGTCTCCACAAACACTGCATTCACTATATCTGGTCTCCCCGGCCCCTGCATTCACTATATCTGGTCTCCCCGGACTCTGCATTCACTATATCTGGTCTCCCCGGACACTGCATTCACTATATCTGGTCTCCCAGCACCTTGCATTCACTATATCTGGTCTCCCAGGACCCTGCATTCACTATATCTGGTCTCCCCGGACTCTGCATTCACTATATCTGGTCTCCCCGGACTCTGCATTCACTATATATGGTCTCCCTGGTCCCTGCATTCACTATATCTGGTCTCCCCGGACTCTGCATTCACTATATCTGGTCTCCCCGGACCCTGCATTCACTATATCTGGTCTCCCAGGACCCTGCATTCACTATATCTGCTCTCCCTGGACCCTGCATTCACTATATCTGGTCTCCCGGACACTGCATTCACTATATCTGGTCTCCCTGGACCCTGCATTCACTATATCCGGTCTTCCCGGACCCTGCATTAACTATATCTGGTCTCCCCGGACCCTGCATTTACTCTATCTGGTCTCCACGGACACTGCATTCACTATATCTTGTCTCTCCGGACCCTGCATTTACTATATCCGCTATCCCCAGACCCTGCATTCACTATATCTGGTCCCCCACAGTACACAGAACATGGAAATGTAATTATTGTAGTAAATATAAACTGCTAAATACCTTTTCTCATCAGCAGTTAGCGCAGTCTTGTGACTTCTATTAGTGTCCAGCCGAGCACATGTTAAAGCTTGTAGGAGGAGTTTTCATTCTGCTCTAGGAGGATGCAGGACACCTTTTTCTGGACAGTGCTGATTGGCCCTGTGCTGATCACATGACACTCTCCCAAGAAAAAAAAAACCTCTAGCAATACACACCAAACTGAGCGTGTGCAGAGTGACTCCACACAATATGTCTTATCAGGAGATAAGAGGAAGACACTGGAAGAAGGGCAGGATCAGAGAAGACAGGATCAAACAGTGCTTTTGCACAATGCAGAGGATTAACCCCTTAGGTTCCACAGAGAGTATAACAAGCAAGTTTACTGCATATACAGACTGATTTTACTGTAGTGGGTTTAGCAACACTTTAGAGATTTCCATCAGTAAGTCCTGTGATCTAGTCACCCCTGCCAAACAGCGCAGGTAGTTAGTGGATGTTTCTATAGACTATAATTACAGTACAGCCCAGGGGCGGACTGACCATTTGGAAACTCGGGCACTGCCCGAGGGCCCGGGGTCAGTAGGGGGCCCCATAAAATGCCCCTGGTACCTTTTTCATAGGCTTTTTTTGAGTTTGGGCAAGGACACAGGGGCCCCATGATCCCCCTATTGCCCGGGGGCACCCGGGCAGTTGTCAGTCCGCCCCTTGTACAGCCTTGTGCAGAATCTGCCCCAACCTTGCTTTGGGCACCATTTATCACAATGTATGTAAGCAAAGGACAACTCCCTCCCAGCTACACAGGACATTAAAGCCATATTAAACCCAAAAGCAAACATTTATTATATTGCAGCTTAACAGTCCTTAACCTCCCTAGTGGTCTGATTATGTCCATATTTCTGTGCTCAAAGCGGTACATTTTTTTTGCATGGAAATATGTTTTTTTTTTTATTGTAGGCTGTAATTTTTAGGAATAACTCACTGACATCTGTCCGAACAAGAGTCTAGTAAACATCCCGGGTATGTTAAACTTTGAAACACGAAATCATAAATTATAATTTAATAAATAATCATAAAAAATAATAATATAATAATCATACATTTAATTCAATAATATAATCAAACCAAAAACACTGAAATTTGAAATATAGCGCCAAGTTCGCACATCACTGAGCAAAGTCGCAAAATCGTTTTCAGTGTCTGATGACGAATTTCCCCACGAATCATTATCACTCAATTCTGCAAGTGGTTCTGATTTACTATCGCTGTTCTCTAGCTGGTCTAAACCCGCTTTTGACCTAAAGGGACACTTTTTGGACGTTTCTCAGTTTCCAGGCAGAAAGAACAGTAAAAATGCAGGCAGGGCGCAGGACAAAGCACTCGGGACAAAATGTATGTGAAATGGTTTGATACAGTAATGTTTTAATATGTGATTTTAGTGTATTTAGTGAATGTCACTTTTTGTCATTTTCAAATTTCCCGCCAGTTCCATCCCCAGTACGTCCCGACGCTCGCAGGGGCTGGAACCCAGATGACAGATGCCAGCATCCGCCGGAGGACATTACCGGGTACACTGCAGGAGGGACATCGCGGGAGCACAGGACAAGGTAAGTGACCAAGGGATCGCGGAGCAACGCCACATGGTAAGCCCGAGTGTAGCTCAGGGTTACCGCTTGTGGTGCTGAAACTTTACCCCGAGCTACACTCGGGAATACCGTCATGGAGGTTAAAGGATAAGTTCATCCTTCGTAACATGTTACATGCTACACCCATATTCAGGGTGTAACATGTAACATGTTACAGGTCCCCCCCGATCCCCATTGTGACAGCTAGCGGGAAATCTTCTCCACCCCCTGCTAGCTGTGACAATTTTTTTTAAAAAACACGGCTGTGCAGGGCTCCGCCCACTGCGCTGTGTCACTCATTCACAGTACTCTGTGATTGGAAAAACTACAAGTTTCAACAGCCTTTGAGGCTGTTGGCTTGTAGTTCTCAATGAACTACCACGTCGCTCCAGCGATGCCAGTAAGTATCTGCTTCCCTGTACAGGATGTATGAGCAAGCAGATATAGTGACAGGTGAGGGGGAGACCTGACTGATCGCTGGCGCAATGCTTTAGAGGCTCCACAAACAAAAAATAATAAAGGCATATTTTTTAACATGCAAAAAAATGTGCATTTATTCTTTTTTGTTAAAAGGTGAACTTACAGTATTCTTTAAATGTGATGACTGCATTAGTTTTCTTTTTTTAGGCTTTCCTTCTTCTAGTTTCACCCGGTGATCTGGCCAGTATTATGTTGTTTTTCAAAAGAACAAGCTCTCTTCCAGATGTAGCAGTTCATATGGATGAGATAAACCGTTTACCACTGGCAGGGGTGCACACAGTGATCAACTTTTATTTACCGTAAAACCTTTATCCCAAAAGGAAAATAAAACTGTTTGCTGTAACTGATTAAAAAATGTGAGTTGGAGTTCAGCTTTAAATTTGTTACTGTGTTTAAATCTGCTAGTTCATCTAACACTTCCCTCCATCCCAGACTGACAATTCTGCTGTCCAGAGGTGCCCCCATGTGCTCCTTCATCTAAAGTGGGGGCACACTAATACAGGAGGTGTTTTACTGGCCAGAACACAAGGTGAAACAGGGGGGAGTCTAAAAAAGAAAACTAATCCAGCCACCACATCTGAGGATTGGTAAGCTGCAACATTAAATTTTTGGTTTTGGGTTTAATTGTGCTTTAAGCTCTTTAGCGGTAATCCCGAGTGTAGCTCGGGGTAAAATTTCAATACCAAGAGCAGTAACCCCGAGCTACACTCGGGCTTACCATGCGGCGCTGCTCAGGGGGTCCCTGCAGCGCTTACCTTGTCCTTCGCTCCCGCGATGCATCCCCTGCAGCGTCCCCGGCCATCTCCTCCGGCCGATGCCGGCATCCGGCTTCCGTGTTCCGGTCCCTGTGACGTCGGGACGTACGGGCGCCGGAACCGGCGGGAAATTTGAAATTTTTTAAAAATTTAATTTTTGCTGTCATTGCTGTTTCAATGCATTTCACATATATTTTGTCCCTACTGCTTTGTCCTGTGCCCTGCCTGCATTTTGAATGTTCTTTCTGCCTGGAAACTTAGAAAAGTCCATGGCATCCAAAAAGCATCCCTTTACATCAAAAGCGGTTTTAGAACAGCGATAGTAAATCAGAACCACTTGCAGAATAGAGTGATAATGATTTGTGGGGAAATTCGTCATCAGACACTTAGAATCATACCGCCGAGGAGGTTAATAAGGTTCAGAACACTAAAGTTCCATTATTATAGATTGCAAGATATGACTTACCTCTATTCAAAAATTTACTTGCCACCGATGGAAGTGGTATAACGCCACATGTAGTTAAATGAACTCCCGAGAGTCATCCCAAGTACTGGCAGTTTTCCGTCTTGCCCAGTGTTTTTCCAAGATGGAGGCGCGTGGCGTGCCCTTTCCCCTCATGGACATCGCAGCATGGAAGGACGTAGAATGTGATGGTTTTTTTTTACTGATTTAATTTTCATGGTTGACAATGTGTTCACCATGATTCAAATGCCTACCTTTTCATGATCTAATTGATCTCAATAAAAATATTTGCATCCAATATTCATAGTAAATATTTGCTCCGCATAGGATTCATAATATACCGTCTTTTTTTGGCAGGTCTGCTCTTGTCAGCTGCTACCTTTTTCTTATAAGCTTTTTTGGTTTAGAATCCACACCTCAATTATGGTGAGTCGGGGATATGCTTTTTGGTGGGTGGATACACCCCTAATTTATGGCATTTTTCAGGGTAGGGCAGCACTGCCCTTTGGAAGAAGGGACGGAAGAAGGAACACACGCGGTAAGGGGACCTGGTGGGTTCCGAGAGATTCTGCGGGTTTCATGATGATGTATTCACAGCCAGACTCTTGTTCCTGGGGATGTCAGAGCTGTGAAGGTGAGGGTCTTTCTCTCTCTCGCACATGGAGGGGATGGTGGCTGCTGGTGTACGGGGGGGGCAGTAGTAGTGGAAGGCTCTCGGGTGGAGGGCAGGAGTGCTCTTGGTCAATGTCAGGCTCTTTCTGCGGGGGGGGATTTTTCTGGTGCCAATTTTAAATACACCACTGCCTACAGTACTACTTACTGTAGGCACAGTGGGTATGTCGCTGCCTACTTCCGGGTCCCCTCCTGCCTGCACCTGCAGTGATTGTTCATAACGGGAGCTGTGTCAGAAAGTCTCAGCCAATGATTCATGGATCGGGACCTACTGATCGGTTAACCCCTTTGTGTACAGTCACAGTTCTTTCCAGAGCTGTGCTTGGACATTCAACACAGAGCTCTGTACACAGGGAGCGTTCTGTCAGTTTCTGCGTGTCTTATTCCTGAGAAACTGATAGATCTCTTAGTAAAAGCAGAACACATTACACATAATTAGGCACACATTTAAACCCTGATCGACCTAGATGTTAACTCCCTTTCCAGCCAGTGTCATTAGTACAGTGACAGTGTAAAGCATTATCACTGTATATTAATGTCACTGGTGATGTCAGTGAGGGGCAGTTAGTCAGTGTCAGTTAGTGCCAACTTGCCCTCCACACTCCCACAATCCCATTATAAGTTGCTGATCACTGCCATTAGTAGTATATAAAAAAAATATATTAAGTATATATACTACAGCCCTTTGAAAAAGTGTTTTCACACACGAAACGCGTTAGGGTGGTGCCCCCCCCATACAGTGACCTTAGCCCACATGGTCTCTATGCCCGACCGGCAGCCATCTTTTGGAATTTATGTAAGTTGAATTACTTGTTTTTATTTACTTTGGAAATAAAATTACTACACTATCGGATACCTCTCTCCTGGGCTTGTTCTTTCTACGAGCCCCCCAAGGTGATTCCTGACACATGAGAATGTGCAACATCCCCCTGGTGGCTGATGATGGGAGGTGATTCCTGATATATGAGAGCGTGTAACATCCCTGTGGTGGCTGATGACGGAATACCTGGAGATGACCCATACTACCTGGAGGTTGCTGACCTGACGAAAACCATGCTGCAGTGTCTCGGATCCAGTGACCAGGAGTAGGTCTTATTTACTCCAACGCGCAATTCTTTGCGCTATCCGGTTAGTGCAATCAACATTCACTTTCTTTACTACAGATGTCACAAATTTCTCTTAGCATTTTACAACACCTACGGATTTATTGACTTTGGCACCATTGTTACTTTATACACTTGGCTCTGTCTTCAAGATATCCAGCATATTTTCGCAATACTGGTCTTTGCACCAAGCCTCTATTGTATATCTGCATATGTTTATCATGGATACTGTATTTTAGAATTTATCATCTAGTCTTTAGCCCTGCATATTCATGTTTTAGCATTTTATAAGGAGGTTTTTGAGGTTTTGCCTTTTATGCCAGCGGCTTTTTATCATCATCACTTTTATCCAGCGCTCGTTTATTCCATTCTATTTATACTACAGTTTGTAGGCACTATAACCTTAACACAAACCAATCAATATACACTTAGTAAGGATTGTTTTTAAATCAAATATATGTAGCAGAATATACTTTGGCCGAAATGTGTGAAGAAATTAGATTTTTTTAAATGTTTTTATTCGATATGTTTTATAGCAGAAATTAAAAATTTGGGTTTTTTTTTTCCCCCAAATTTTTCGGTCTTTTCTCATTTATACCACAAAACATAAAAAAAAACACAGCAGTGATCAAATACCATCAAAAGAAAGATCTATTTATGTGAACAAAATGATATAAATTTTGTTTGGGTACAGAGCTGCATGACCGGACAATTACAAGTTAAAGTAGCACATTGTAGTATAGCAAAAATGGCCTGGTCAGGAAGGGGGTGAAATCTTCTAGAAACGAAGTGATTAATATGTCACCATGTTGGCAAAATAAATTGTATTCAATAGGGAAGGTGAAATGTAGGAGGTGTGTTGTGGTTTTTAGGGTGCAAGGCTTTAAAGCTGCCATTTTTTGTTATTTTTTGAAAATGCCAATTGCTTGGTGCTAATTGTGATGATCTATTAAAGGCTTCAGCCATTGCCGACCTTTAGCCAATTGCTTGGCTGCCCTGATGATCTATTGGCTTCATCTTTAGATTTGTCAGATTTGGTGAAGTTTAAAAGTCCTCATATGAATATACTTGATGGTAAATGACTTAGCGTATTGATGTGCAAGCATTAGCATGGCACCGAAATAATACACATTTTCAATAGGAGAGATCAACAATGACTATATGCTGTATATATTTCTATTAGGTAACTGAAGATTCAACAGGCTCAAGCCAAAAACATTGTCTACCATTACTTGTGTTCTTGCTCCCTCTAGTGTTTCCATAAGTCAACTGTTTAAAGAGACAAGATTTAGCATACATGAAATGAAAAAGCCATGATCCACAAAAGTACACAAAGAGATAAATATTTATGTGGAAGACAGCAGAGAAAACAATGCACTAAATTAAAAATGATATGTTCCATCTTGATGTGCATCAACACTTCTGTTACAGATGGGGGATGCCGGACATGGACCTCCTGACTTCCTGGTTTCACAATATGTCCAGTTTCAGGGATCCTCTAGTCTTCACACTTCATGCTATGGTGATCTTTTGGGATTAGTTCAAGCTGATCCACATTTTTCACCAAAACTCTTCCTCACCAGCTCTGCAGGATTGAGATGGGCAGCATTCGGGTGTTCACATTGCACAAAATTTACCCAGGAAGATGTGGTAGTCAGATTTTGTCAGACTCCTGGTAGTCTCTCCATGGGTCCTTCCAATTCTTCTGTACAAAGAACAGGTTTGAAGCCCAGGTCTTAAAGATTGAATGCCTGTCTTATTCGGTTACCTTTATGCTTTTAACGACTTTTTTTTTTCTAGTCTGGTTTGGGTCAACATATGCTCTGGAGTGCCATCAAGGGTCAATACTCATCTGGGGCAGTACCCAGGTGTTCCCATGCATGACAGCCCTGCTCATCTCTAGTGATCCTTTTCAGAGATCGTTTGCCTCTCAAAACTTAAGGTGCTGCTCACATTATTCCCTTGTACATTTCCAAGTGACATTGTGGGATCTCAAAGTGCTTCTGTCAGATCTTCAGAAACAACCCTTTAAACTTCTCAAGGATAGTGCTCTATATACTCTCAATCATAAGGTTTCCATCAACTCGGCGAGTTTCTGAATTGGTAGCCTTAATTTGTAAAGAACCCTTTCTTTGCACAGAGACAAAGTTGTCTTGATGCCCTAGTCCTCTTTCCCTCACAAGGTGGGTTATTTTTTTTAACATAACCAGAATATTGTTCTTCCTACCCATGTGAGTTTATTGTGTTTTTTTCATACATACTGCTTGGATATCCTACATCACTTGGATGGTTTTTGTATTATGCTTATGATCTTAACTAAATACTATACTATGGCTCCTTTTTGTCCACTCTCTTTGAGCTCCATTGATATAGCGCATATTGATGTACAATCCCGCTGTGAGGAAAGGACAGAGCCGGTGTGCCTACTACTAAGCTGGGACCAGGGCGGACTGACCATTTGGAAACTCGGGCACTGCCCGAGGGCCCGGGGTCAGTAGGGGGCCCCATAAGATGCCCCTGGTACCTTTTTCATAGGCTTTTTTTGAGTTTGCGCAAGCACACAGGGGCCCCATGATCCCCTATTGCCTGGGGGCTCCATGAGTTGTCAGTCCACCCCTGGCTGGGACAGCAAGGAGTGGGTGATTGGCACAACGTGGTCAGGCTGTTTTTGCTACAATTGCTGTAGCCAATAAATCTGGTGGAGTCTGCAATCTATTGGCTGATGGTGAACGATCATACATTGGCGGATATGGCGCGGATTGTATCTGGTGGTGGATGGCACCTTATTTGCCTTTTATATGGACCTTTGGATATAGAGACTTTTTTGGTAAACACTTTATTATATAACATGTTTATAATGATCATTTGGATCATCTTTTTATTATAATTGGCTCTTTGATTACTTGTATATATAATTTGTATTCACTTTATTCACAATTTTGACTATTGAGTGATTTATATATTGGATATATTTTGTTTTGCTGCAGAAAAAAAAAGTCTTAAGATTTGCAGATCCACCCTTATTTTGCCAGCAGCCTGTCAGTTAAACAATTGTGCTGACTTTTTTTTTCCAGTACATGCTGTGTACCCATATGGAAGAAAAATGAATTTGAAATATATTTAAAAAATATTCTTCCCAAAAAAATCTGAAGAATATATTTAAAAATATATATATTTTTTAAAAAATATATTCTTCAGATTTTTTTTTAACATATGAAAAAGTAATTTTAACATATATTTTTACATATACTTGTAAATGTATTCCAAAAATGTAGATTTGTATTTTTAAAGACATATAGTATATTTGAAATGTATTTTTTAACATATTTTTTCATTAATTTTGTAATAACGCATTTCAACATGCAGTGTATATATATGTATCCCTATGTTTGAAGATTAAAATTATGTCCACTAGTCCCAAGGCAGAGCTGAACCCCCAACAGCAATTTTAGAATCTGGAAATAAAACATTACAGTGTCATTTTTTCCCAGAAAAATCTCACAAAAGATTGTTGTGCCTATATTTCCAGTATTTAAAAGAGAAGTATGACTTTTGAAAAAAAACAAGAAAAAATAAACAAGTTGATGCAGCATCGATCAAAGACTGCTGATTGCTCAGCTCTTTTCTCCGTTCTGAGCCTAGAGCCATGATTGTCAGTCACCAGCTCTCTGCTCTGCCCCTCCAGCGCTCACTGGAGCACTAGGCTGTGGAAGGGCAGGAGCGGCTGGTTGAGACTCTCACCAGCTCACTGAGAGGCTGAACCAGGTGCAGGTCCAGGCATCTGGGTAGATCCTCACTTTAAAGTTGGGATCTTTTCAGAGCCTGGACCAGCTGAGTGACATCAGCTGGTCCAGGCTGTCAGCTGAAAATGGGTCACAGGAGTGCAGAGCAAGCTGTACGCCTGTGATCCATAGGAGAAATCTAAGCAAAATAGCATTAGGAATACTTCTTCTTTTATTAGAACCCCAACTCCAAAAAAAAGTTGGGGCGCTGTATAAAATCTACATAAAAAACAGAATGCAATGATTTCAAATCTCATAAACCCATATTTTATTCACAATAGAAAATAGATCAAATGTTTACACTAGGAAAATGTACCATTTTAAGAAAAAAAAAAGTAATTTTGAAATTGCTGGCAGCAACACGTCTCAAAAACGTTTGGACAGGGCAACAAAAAGCTGGAAAAGTACAACCCCAATTCCAAAAAAATTGGGATAGGGCAATGGTAACCATGGTGTAGCTTCCCCTCTTCTTCACAACACTCTGTAAATGTCTGAGAACTGAGGAGACCACTTGCTGGACTTTTGGTAGAGGAATGGTGCTCCATTCTTGCCTGAGCATATGCTGGTGTAAAACCTGAATCTGAACCTTTCGGCACTGATGGTGCCTTTCCAGATGTGCAAGTTGCCCATTCCATATGCACTAATTTACCCCCCATACCATCAGAGATGCAGGCTTTTAAACTGAACGCTGATATCAAGCCAGAAGCACCCTCTCCTCTTTAGTCTGTAGGCTATGGCACCCATGGTTACAAAAAAGAATGTAAAATTTTGATTTGTCTGACCACAGAACAGATTTCCACTTTGCAATAATTCATTTTATAAATAACCTTTGGCCCAGAGAAGGAGAGGACATTTCTGGATCATGTTCAGATATGGCTTCTTGCTTGACAGATGAGAGAGCTTTAACTTGCATATTTGGACAGCACAGCAAACTGTGTTCACAAGCAGTGATTTTTGGAAGTATTCCTGAGCCCGTGCCGTTGTATCCATCAAGCCTGTTTTTTAATGCAGTCCAGTCTGAGGGCCCAACGATCACAGACATCCAATATTTTGTTTCGGCCTTGTCCCTTGTGCACAGAGATTTCACTAATTCTCTGAATCTTTTGATGGCATTATTACTACTGTCGTTGATGATATATTTAAAATCTTTGCAATTTTACGTTGAGGAACATTATTCTGAAATTGTTTGACAATTTTTAGATGCAGCTTTTTACAGATTGGTGAACCTCTGCCCATCTTTACTTCTGAGACACTCTGACTCCTGAAGATGCCCTTTTTATACCCAGTCATATTACTGACCTTTTGCCAATTAACTTAATTATTAGAAAAATTGTCTTCCAGCTCTTTCTTGTTAGTACCACTTACTTTGCTAGCTCTTTGTTGCCCTGTCCCAACCTATTTGAAACATGTTGCTGCCATTTATTCTACTATCTGCATATTACCACCTAGACCTACACCTACACATTTGGACACATATACATTAGAATCGGCAGACACAATGATTACCAGGATGTGTAGTTTCAGGAGACTGGTGCACATGACTTTAATAGACATGCACTGCTTGTACCAAAAAAAAGCAGAAGAGAAAGAAAAAGATCCACAGCAGGCATAACATGGAGACAACTTTTAAAACAAATGTATTTAAAAAGTAATTTGGAGATATTAAGAAATGTGATTATGGACAGTATGCAGGACCAGGGGGGACTGACAACTCATGGGGCCCCTGGGCAATAGGGGATCCTTGGGCCCCTGTGTCCTTGCCCAAACTCAAAAAAAAGCCTATGAAAAAGGTACCAGGGGCATCTCATGGGGCCCCCTACTGACCCCGGGCCCTCGGGAAGTGCCCGAGTTTCCAAATGGTCCACAGTCCACCCCTGTGCAGGACTAAGATGGAGCATTTAGTGACACTTTAAGGACTACTTTTTGATGATAAAAGGCACAACTTTAAGAAAAAAAAAATGATTGATGTATCAGTATTTGAACCACACCTCAACAAATGAGTTTGAGGCTCAGGCTGAAGGTTCAGCAGCACATTGACACAGATTCCTGGCCAATCCTAGACAGCTTTGTAACACTTTGGGTGTAATTTACTAATAGGGTATGTTCACTTTCAGAGTGAATCATCACTTATTTTAGTAAAGGAAGTAAAACAAAGCGGAAGTTCATTTGCAAAGAAGAAACCAATCACCTGTGAGTCTAGGTTCACACCTATTCAGGTTATTTGATGCGTTTCTGCACCGCGTTTTGCACTTGCATTTTTGCCTCATTTTTGCCGCATTTTTGATGCGTTTTGCATTTTTCTTTCCATTTTTAAAAATGTTCTTGTTGCTAGGCAGATTTAAAATGCAAAACACATAAAAATGCAGCAAAAATGCAGCAAAACGCAATAGATGTTTTTCTGCAGTGTTTTCAATGAAGTCTATAGAAATGTTTTGCGTTCAAAAAAGTCCCTGATCCTTTCCAAAAGACGCACCGGGTGAAAACACAGAGATGTGAACCTGTCCCATAGGAAATCATGTTAAATGGACTGTAAATGCAAAACGCTGCAGAAAACGCTTAGGTGTGAACAGGGGCGGACTGACAACTCATGGGACCCCCGGGCAATAGGGGATCATGGGGCCCCTGTGTCCTTGCCTATGAAAAAGGTACCTGGGGCATCTCATGGGGCCCCCTACTGACCCCGGGCCCTCGGGCAGTGCCCGAGTTTCCAAATGGTCAGTCCGTCCCTGGGTGTGAACCTGGGGTAAGGCAAATTGGACAAACAGGATTTTTGTTCTCAAATTATGGATGATTAAAGTCAACACAACTTCATCTCATTCACTAAAATGAGATGCACTTTCTCTTTGCTAATTGAATTTTAACTTATGGAATTAGATGAAGTTGTGTTGATTTCAGTCATCCAGTGATCTGACAACAAAATTCCCATTTTCCACATAAGACCAAGATAGGCCATCAAAAGCCTTGTCTAAAGTTAGAATAGATTTTTTTTTAAGGTTTTTAAATATTTATTTGGATGAGAAACTAGAATAGTGGTAAAAAATGTAAGTGGAATAATGCGGTAGCTTTTTTGAATTCATATTTTTAAGGTTTCTGTTTTATTGTTGGATTACTGCTATTGTTGCTTGACGCATTTGTCAGGAAACTCTATGGCCTGTAACTAAGAGACTATTTTATAAACAGTGGAATATAATGATGGTGCTCCGAGCTCCATAAATGCTAAAAACCCTATTAAGTGGTCGTCTTTAGTATTAGATCATTTTTTATAATAGATTTAAAAAGTTTTGTAGTGTCTGTGGGAGTCAGATGCTACTTGTCTGGATAAGGTTAGGCGTTGGTAAACGGAATTAATCTTCTTTTTCTGCTTGAAGTTTAATAGTGAGCTGTGTGTCTGGTTTATTGGCTTGATAGTGGTATTTTCCTTTCATCCATCTCAGCGCTCTTTCAGATTTATTTGTCAAGACTGTATGTAGCTGTAGTTTTAAATCTTTAATTTGTTTCCTTAGGCAAGTGGAGATTACAGATTTGCAAACTTGAGTCTATGTAGTTATGTTCTAGGTTGCTTTGAATTTTGAAGCACCTTTTGATAAATTGCACACTGGATTAGAAACGCTCCTATAAAAGCTTTACATGCAAGTCGGACCATATAAAGTTTTCAGATTTAAGTGATATTGGTTGCAAAGATTTGAGTGATATTGAGTCTGATTTTTATCTTAGGGTTAGTTAGAAGTGTCTCATTAATTTGATTTTCGTGGTTGGCTGTCTAGGAGTGATTGGAATGCTTATATGACGATGTCATTATTTGACCAAGAGTTTGAGATGTGCTAGTGTATAATAAGTCAGGTACACAATACATGCTCACTAGAATGGCACTAATTTCCATATATGAATAGGGTTAGAAACATGAGTTAGCCTCATACTCCCACCACTGCCTCTGCTGTTTAACAATTCTTGATAATGTCCACTCTGTGCCAATTGACTGGTGACAGATCTCTGCTGGGCGTACAGTTGGTCTCTCCTTCTACCTAGCCTTCCTCATCACCCGTATTGACCAACAGCCATCACTTTTGTGGTATAGGGGACCCCACTACAAGGGGCAGTGGCATTAGACCTTGTTTTGAGGTCTATTAACCGCTTCCTGTCCACCCTATAGCAGAAATACTGCTACAGGGTGGCATGGGTGCGCAAAATCACACACATATATATATATATATATATATATATATATATATATATATATATATATATACAGTTGCAAGAAAAAGTATGTGAACCCCTTGGGATTACGTGGAGTTTTGCATGAATTGGGCATAAAATGTGCTCTGAACGTCATCTAAGTCACAATAATAGAAGAACACAGTCTGCTGAACATAATACTACACAAACATTAGTTGTTGCCATGGTTTAATTACACATAACATGTAAACATTCACAGTGCAGGGAGGAAAAAGTATGTGAACCTTTGGACTTAATAACTGGTTGACCCTCCTTTGGCAGCAATAACATCAACCAAACGTTTCCTGCAGTTGCAGATCAGACCTGCACAACGATCTGGAGTAATTCTGGACCACTCCTCTTCACAAAACTGTTTCAGTGTAGCAATATTCTTGGGATGTCTGGTGTGAATCGCTCTCTTAGGGTCATGCCACAGCATTGCAATCGGGTTGAGGTCAGGACTCTGACTGGGCCACTCCAGAAGGCGTATTCTGTGCTGTTGCAGCCATTGTTTTGTTGAATTACTTGTATGCTTTGGGTCATTGTCCTGTTGCATCACCCATCCTCTGCGGAGCTTCAGTTGGCGGACAGATGGTCGTACGTTTTCCTGCAAAATGTCTTGATAAACTCTGGAATTCATTTTCCCATCAATGACAACAATCCGTCCAGGCCCTGAGGCAGCAAAGCAGCCCCCAACCATGATGCTCCCTCCGCCATGTTTCACAGTGGGGATGAGGTTTTGATGTTGGTGTGCTGTGCCTTTTTTTCTCCACACATAGTGTTGTGTGTTCTTCCCAAACAACTCAATCTTGGTTTCATCTGTCCACAGTATATTTTGCCAGTAGTGCTGTGGAACATCCAGGTGCTCTTTTGCAAACTTCAAACGTGCTGCAATATTCTTTTTGGACAGCAATGGCTTCCTCCGTGGTGTCCTCCCATGTACTCCATTCTTGTTTAATGTTTTCCTTATTGTAGATGCGTCAACAAAAATGTTAGCATGTGCCAGAGATTTCTGTAGGTCTTTAGCTGACACTCTGGGATTCTTCTTTACCTCATGCAGCATTCTGAGCTGTGCTCTTGCAGTCATTTTTACAGGACGACCATGCCTAGGGAGAGTAGCAACAGTGCTAAACTTTCTCCATTTGTAGACAGTCTGTCTTACCGTGGACACATGAACATCAAGGCTCAAGGAGATACTTTTGTAACCCTTTCCAGCTTCATGCAAGTCAACAATTCTTGATCGCAGGTCTTCTGAGAGCTCTTTTCTGCTAGGCATGGTTCACATCAGACAGTGCTTCTTGAAACCAGTAAACCCAAAACAGGTGTGTGTTTTTTAAGGGCAGGACAGCTGTCAGCAACACATCCAATATCATCACACTGATTGGAGTCAAGGTTGGCTCACTCCTGGCTCCAATTAGCTCTGGGAGAAGTCATTAAGCTAGGGCCTCACATACTTTTTCCTCCCTGCACTGTGAATGTTTACATGTTATGTGCAATTAAGCCATGGCAACATCTAATGTTTGTGTAGTATTATGTTCAGCAGACTGTGTTCTTCTAATGTTGTGACTTAGATGACGTTCAGAGCACATTTTATGCCCAATTCATGCAAAACTCCATGTAATCCCAAGGGGTTCACATACTTTTTCTTGCAACTGTATATATATGATTTTGCATTTCCGGGTAGGGGGCGTGTGCGTGAGCCGGGTCCAAGTCGGTAATTACTCACTGGCCAGTGATTTCTGAAGATCTCTGATGGGAGGAGGACTGTTTTGTTTACTAACAGTCCTCCTCCCTGTCAGCTCGGGCACACTGCTCTGGATCAGCAAACACAAATGCTCCTGCGCTTGGGGATGGACTGGATGTAGGCTACAACCACATTAAGAATGTCCTAGAACATGCACACCTTGCTGCCCTCAAATAGACCGGGGAAATCCAAATATACTGAATGAGGAAAGAACAAACAGAGGGCGCACAGGCCTAGAGCATTACCATAAAAAAGCCAGTGGCTCTGAGGAAGAGGCAAGTCCTCGAAACGCGTCAGTCTATTGGATGTCTACACTCCCTATTGCGGACTGTTACACAGCGCGGTGTTGACCCAGCTGTTCTTTTATGACGTGCCTTGACTTTATTGTCGGTTTTGAGTACAACACCTACTTTATTTCTTATTAAACATTTTTTAATGGTAATGCACTGCCTGTGCGCCCTCTGTTTGTTCTTTCTTCACACTGCTCTGGATGGCTGTGCACAGCACAGCCATCCAGAGCAGTGTAATTACAGTGAAGCACACTGACACGACCCCCTAGTAAAACACTCCGTGCACAGAGTTAACCCTTTGATCGCCCCTTCAGGTTAACCCCGCCCTGCCCAGTACTATTAGTACAGTGTCAGGGCTTTTCTTTTAGCACTGATCACTGTATTGGTGTCACTGGGGATGTCAGTGACACTAAGTCAGGTCCCCCAGTATCAGAATGTCCGCTGCAGTCCCGTTATAAGTTGCAATTACTAGTAAAAAAAAAACATTCCAGTATATATACTGCCATTTGTAAACACTAGAACTTTCACGTAAACCAAGTAATTTTACATGTATTGGGATATTTTTTTTAGCAAAGACATGTAGCAGAATACATTTTGCTGTAAATTTATGCCGAAACTTGATTTTTAAAATTTTTTTACAGGACATGTTTAATAGCAAAAAGTAAAAAATATTGGTTTTTTTTCTCAAAAATTGTCAGGCTTTTTTTTTATAGTGCAAAAAATTAAAAATGCACAGGCGATCAAATACCACCAAAAGAAAGCTCAATTTGTGGGGAAAAAGGACGTAAATTTCATTTGGGCGCAACAGCACAGTGGCTAAATGGTTAGCACTCCTGCCTGGCAGTACTTGGGTCGTAGGTTCAAATCCCAGCCACGGCACCACCTGCCTGGAGTTTGCATGTTCTCCCTGTGCCTGCATGGGTTTCCTCTGGGTACTCCGGTTTCCTCCCACACTCTAAAGACATGCTGGTAGGTTAATTGGATCCTGTCTAAATTGGCCCTAGTATGTATGAATGTGAGTTAGGGACCTTAGATTGTACACCCCTTGAGGGTTAGGGACTGATGTGAATGTACAATATATATGTGAAGCGCTGCGTAAATTGACGGCGCTATATAAGTACCTGAAATAAATAAATAAAATAAACATTGCATGACCAAGCAATTGTTAAAGTAATGCAGAGCCGTAATGCAAAAATTAGCCTGGTCAGGAAGGGGGGTAAATCCTCTGAAGGGCAAGTGGTTAAAATTTTAAACCTCCCCCCCCCGTTTTGTTCAATTTGTACAGTAATCGTATGGAAATAATCAAAATATGCATGATCAGAAGCAAAGAAGGACCCTACACTTCCTCTTCCTCTACGCTAGCATGCAGCCACGTTTGCCTACACTTGTGTTGGTCGGGAATTTTTGTAGAGGTTAATACTATTGATCTGATTTTCTGATCTGATTGATCTGATTTTCTCGCAGTTTGTGCTAATCATTACACTGCACACTATGCCAGAATCTGCTAATGTACGGTTGTTCAGACCGCCCTGAAGAGTACAGAGAGTAACTATATCTGCATTGAAA